GCTGCGTGCGCCGAGCTCTGGCTGGGGGTGTGTGAGCCACCTGTGGACAGATCGAGAGAGGATGGATATGAGGTGTAGGAGCGACCGGTCAGGGAGTAACCTGACATGCCCCCAGGCACCACCCCAGCAGTTCCGCCTGGGCCGCCTGGGCCCCCGGGGCCCTCACCCCTCTCCCCTCCACCTCTGCGCACCCCTATACCTCCCCCCACCACTGTGACCCCATCTAGACTGCTCGGCTCTGAGCGATAGCTAGGCTGGCGGCTGGACTGGAGGATAGAGGGAGACGGAGAGTCAAGACTCTCCCCTCGAATCATCTGAGGAGAGAAACGTGAGGGACAAACAGAACAAAGACAGAGGAGGGAGAAGGGAAAAGAACAGAGTGGTGTACAAAGAAGGAGAAATGAACATCACAGCATTGTACAGAAGGAAAGAACAAACAACCTTGTTGGGTGACATATGATCTTAGTCCCTGTTATTAGCATTTATAAGCAGTACCAACACACATTAAGGATGCCCAGAAGAGGAACATAATGAGAACAAGACTCCTTACAAATGCTACATATGGGACTCAAATTGAGATTTCTTTTCCCATTTCTTCTTACAAGGTGTACCAGGAAAAAACAAATACAAACGGAAACAGTGGAGGGGAGGAATAGAATGCTGACCGGTGCTCTACTCCATCATCACACTACAGGGTTGGGAACACTGACTGGCTGGAACAAGCACTGACGCTGCATGTAAGACCATGTGTCAACACAAATGGAAATACAAATACGTACAGTCCATGAACTAAACATTCCAGTCAATGCAGACTCAGGGGTAAAGGAGAGAGTCACTCAAGCACAAACACAACCAAAAGATTTATATATACACACAAAACACTAGCTGTGACTTACTGATCGACCGAGGGCCACTGAGTGATCAATTTTAAGTAAAAAAAAAAACAAATACAAAAAAAACAGTGGCATAGATTAGCCACAAAGGTAATATAAAGGGGACATACTTAAGGCTTATTTTATACAAGTGAGAGTTAGGTTTGGTGATGAAAGGATTACTACGTACTTGACAGTATTATTTAACTCCTATCAATTAAAGTAAGGACACTGACGAACGAGTGCAGATAAAACTCGTATCATCAACAGACAGGAATATCAGCCAATGATAAACAGTGGTGCCAGAAACCAATATGATTGGTTTCTGTGTGTGTATGAAACACACACAAACACGCAGTCATTGTAGGCTTAGCTTCAGCGTCAGACTAGTGGGCTAGCTCATAAGCAGTTCCTGGACTACTAAGAGTGTGGAAGGGTAAACCGACATGTACCTTATTGGGGTGTGTATGCCCTGTGTGGTTCCTTCCCGGGCTGTTGAAGGCCGGTCGGTACTTGTACATTGATGGTGTGGGCGGAGCTTCAGTCAACAAACTGCTCTCTGGGAAGAGAAAAACCAAAAGTGACAAATGAACAAGGTGTGTCTGGGATTAGAGAAACACCAACATCATCTGTTTACACAAGAGCGGAACACTTTGTTTCAGGTGACCTGACATGGCTTAGCATAACTGTTTTTACGCAGAAAATCGAATGTGTCTCACCCTCTGTGTCAGCACGAGGCAGGCCGGCGTAACGCAGCTCTGGTTTGGGAGGAGGTGGGGGCTCTGCATCAGCTGACTGGCTCTCATTCTGATCCAGACTGCTCTTGGACTAGGAAAAAAAAAACAGGCAAGTAATGAACTTACACAGAAGTAATGAGAAGACATACCGATCAATAAATGGAAAGTGAATGGAAACGTCAGCAGTATCTCTGCCAACATTTCAAAAGCCTCATCACTAATATACAGGTATATTAGTCTTTGAATTTCTATAAATGTTTAATGCCAATCAGAGTGAAATTAAGGCTAATAATATGTATGTTTTTAAATACGTTTAATTAATTAAGCTGTCAGAAAATGAAAAGGCATTTTGTTAAATTTACTTGTCCATGCCACAGACAAGCTGGCAACAAACAAGAAATAGTTTGTGAGGCTTTCACTAAAATTGAAAGTTGTCTTTTCAGACTTTTTAAGGAACCACAAGAAGCTTGTGTAAATATTATATACTGCATTGCATTTCTTTTTTAAGGAATCCATGAGTGACCACTCACCCTGGCACTGTGTCGGTCATTCTGGATGCCGTTGTCCAGAACCTTGGCTTCAAGCTGCGCCTCTGTGAGAGCAGGTCGAAGAAACGGTGTCTGTATCTCCACCGACTGGGGGCTCCGCCACCGGCCTACGTATCTGTGAAGAAGACACAAACATTTGAAATCTTGATTTCATCAAGTAGCTCACAATTCCAGCTTATATTCATAAATCCAACGTAAGCAGGAAAACAACAGCTGGGTAGGCCTGAGAGGGGGCGGCTGACCTGGGAGCCTGTGATCTGCACAGAACGTTTGAAATATTCCTGAAACAACCGTTGGTAAAAGGATTGACACCTCCTCGAAACTTTCCTGTCACCTGTAAGAAAAGCGAGAGACAGTGGTAGACGTTGAATTAACACCAGCATATGTGACAGAAAAAATGCCTGAAAAACATCAAGGCTACCGAGGTAAATGTGCAAATAAGTCTGGTAAAAAACCTGTTCATTTGTGGTCCTGCCGCGAGCCACCAACACTATGTGGAACCCAGTAAGGCCAGCAACTGGGACAAAAAACAGACCAGCTACACACATGACAGCCATACTGCCAACAGTAGGTCAAGGACATTATGACAAATTACAGAAATCAATGAAAAAGGATTTGTCAGGGCCCATGTGCTTTAATGGCTGTAGCCTGTCACGTGAAGGATACGTAACAGCTGCGTGTGGCGTGTCCAGCCTCTGGCGGTGGTGCAGGACATAAACCAAGCCAAACCCAAATACATCCATGATGTGGGTGGTAAGCGATAACAGGAAAAGGAAGAAATAACGGTAATTCCTCCGACCTATGCAGTTGTTAACCCAGGGACAGTGATGGTCAAAGTCCTAGGGAACAGGAGGAAATGTCATAAAAGTGTCAATCATCATGATGAACAGTCGGTGCAAAAATTATTTTAAAGAAAATTCTCTGTCTGTAAATTGCTAGCATCTAGAGCTACATTGGCTGTGTTGTTACTTAGGGTGAGGGCTTCCTGCTAACAGAAATCTTCTCATATCGATGGTAACTTTCTGGACATTGAAACAAAAACAGTCACCCACCCATTTGTCTTCGATGAAACATTTACTCAAATTAATATTCTGGTATGCAAAAAAAAAAGGGTTCCCAGTTTGGAGACAGAGTCAAAGGTATAAAAAGATGTGTATGTGTTGTGTTTATGAACCTCCACACAGTTGTCACAGACGGAGCAGTGCGAGCAGCGAGGCGGGCGATAAAAGCGACAGGTTGAGCACCACTTCATGCGCACTTGGATGCCTTTGATCTCCACGGTCTTGTAGAGCGGAGCACGGAAATCGTCCTCTTTGTCTTCATCCTCCTCCGCTAAAGAAACAAAGACACAACCAATGAGTGTGTGCTTACATTATCCTGCATATTCAGCACACAATTTTGTGCTAACCCAGTACATTATTTCTACTCGTACTCGTTTTACCTCTGGGAAAGACTCCCGGGTCCATGAAAGTGGCCATGCAGAAGTTGGCCAAGGTGAAGATGAACACAACAGCATTGTAGATGGGAATGACAGATGAAAAGTACTCCGATAACCACGGACAACTGCATAAAAGGAGGCAAAAAAAACAGGACGGGATTCACAATTGCACCAATTATAGTCTTCATAAAAACGTGTGCTCTGAGTAAAGATTATTTTTCTGAACTCCAAAAACTACAATCAACAAAACATTCATCTTTTAGCTAAAAAACTAGTTAACAGAGATCTTCCCTGCATCACCCAAGACTGTAGACTGATTAATATACTTGAGAACAACAGCTTTATCAAGTTTTGAAAACAGTGCCAGACAAGTTCCACAAGTCAGTGTCAGGCTGCACAGGAACGACAAAAATCCAACAACTCTATGGAGCTAAATTCTGTGTTACACTTTTGCACTTTCTTCACTTTTTTGTATAGTAATACATTTTTTGTATGGTAATAATTTTTTTAATTTTTCTATTATTTAGATTAGTTACAAATAACACACACACACACCTAGCTGCTTCTATTTGTCTTTCTGTTGCAGCAATACACAAAAAACTTCCTTGAATATTACTGTTGATTTATTTCGTTTGCTCATGATGAATCATGGAAAATGTACAGCCACCCAGTGATTAATTAGATAAAAGATTTCAAAACAGTTCTAGTTAGTATGCACTCTTTGATGGTGTACTGTCTTACTCACGTAAAACAAAAGAACAAGGTGGTGGATCCCACAAGGAAAAAGGTGGCTGCTGACACCGGAACATATCGGCTTGGTCGAAATGGACGGGGAGGAGCAGAAGCGGGGCCACCCACTCCTCCCCCGATGCCCCCACCACTGAAGCCCGGCATCGGACACGGAGACAGAAGGGAGGATAAGGGAGAGAAAGGTAGATATCTACAGTCTACCGTTTGTCAAGTGTGCTCTCACAGGTCACAATAGCAAATAGGGTGTTTGTTTAAGAGGCTGGGCCATGACCACACACTGGCTAAGAAAATCAACACCATGCAAAACAGCAAATCACTGAATACATTTGTTTCTTTGTTCGCTCACAAAGAATCTAGCAATTGCTTGGGGAAAAAAAAAAGAAAAAGCAATATTCTCCTCTAATTATTTGTGCAATTTTGTTATCATGTTTTTTTTTACAAGCATAGAAAACTTACACAAGAGCACTATGATACAAAAATATGTTTAGGTAATTCATAAATATTTTGTATGGCTTTAATTGTATTTGGTGCAAAAATATAAATAAATCTAATATTAAGATGCTACCTGGCACCAGCGTAACTAAGGAAATCTGTCACGTGTGTTTGCAACTAAAGTTGGCACAATCTAGACTCAAGTCCTAAATCTCTGTCCCGTGGCCAATGTTCATCATTGTGCTAGTGTTGTGATTATGCCTCACAGAAAGGAGAAAAAATTATTAAGAAAAGAGCCGGGAATTGAGGAGGTAGTGGGTGGATAGTCAGTAGGCTGAGAGCAGAACAGTGTGAAGAAACACAGGCGGAGGACTGAGCGTAGCAGCTGCTGATGACTTCTGCGATTGTCCCAGGAGGGCTTATTTAGGCACTGGGTGGGTGGAAGAAACTGGGGATTGTGGCAGGAGGGATAGTTCCAGCACGTTTAAAACCAAAAGAGAAACTAAAACTCATACAGGTTGTGGAAACTGGCTCAATACCTTCCAAATAAAGGCCAACTGTATTATTGGAAGATGCTATAAACAAGCAAAAATGTCCGCATGATGTTTAGCCATGCACTGACAAATTTATTGGACATAAAAAGGTCCCTCAGATTTGTTTTTGACTCCTGCCTTGAGTCTTCGTGGTAAAGTGGGGGTAAAATCAACTCATTTGAAAAAGACGTCCCGTGCACGTCACAGATGTGTCGTCAAACTTGGCTTGGGTTGCATATAGAGACCTCTGAAACCTCCTAATTCTTTGCAGGTAAAAATCCTTTCCCATTTTGCATCTCTTAAATAAAGCCATGTGCAGCAGCGACGTTACGTTGTTTGATCCATTTTAATCCTTTTTCTTTATCCAACTATCTTCTTTCAGCCATGGGGGCAGTGAGCAGCAGAAATTCACTGTAAAAAGGAATATGTATTAGAATATTTTATTAGAATGCAAATGATTATGGATAAAACTGAACAAATTTGATTCATTTCAATAAGATCATATTTAACAAAACTGACATTATGCTCAGTAGATTTGAAGCTCTGCTTTCACAACTCAAAATGTATTTAGCCATCTAATTTGTTTCTAAAACTATATATATATATATATATGCACACTTGCGTTTAAGTACTAGGTAAAAATAAGTCAGTCTAACCAGTGTCTGACCTCTTACAATGTTGCAGACTTTGACAATTTCTGACAAAACTTGCATGACTCATCAAGGAAATTGTTAAACTCCCTCCAGATATCATACAGACAACTGTCACCAGAATGTCGTTGAGTACATATATAAATGCCTTCCGGTGAAAACCCAAATCATAAAGACTACGATAATTAACTGACACACACACGCTCCTGATTTCCATCTGTCCAGGTGAAAAACTAGTCCGAGCAATGTGAAGCTAATGAAAACGGAACCGGAGTATCGGTGTAACCTGATCGCCGAACACACCCCTCTGTTCAGCAATCATCGGTATTAACAAATATTGAGTCTTGGCCGAGTCACAGTATCTTTGTGGCTGTTCATCTCATCTGCCACACAAATCCACCTCCACTATAATGGATGTTAATCCTAAAATCTCCGTGTCGAGGGCTGACCATCGTGTCACAGTAACAATCTGAGGCTTTCCAGTCGCATCAGTTATTGGCTAGTCCAATAAAAATGACATATTCGGGGATGATTATAATTCACTGATACTTTTGGAGTAGATGCCCCGGTTTAATCTGCAACATATGACTGCCTGGCTCTTCATCTTCGAGTCCTGTTTTGCCAGATCGGGCGTTAAACAACAGGCCAGAGTTGAGCTAGAATTTAGTACAATCGTGTGTTGTAACACGAAACGCTTAAAATTACACACATCTGTTTCTCTAGAGGGATACTGACCAACATTCGCCAAAGAAATGAGTCCCGATAAACTAAAACGAAAATGACCGGCGATTCGTACCTGATAATTTGTTGCCCCTCACCAAGCTTCGAAAGTTTTGCGACAACGCTCAGTCCTTTACCACAGCTAAAAGAGTTAGCTAGCGTTCCCTAGCAATCTGGCGAGTTTTGCGCTCACTAACTCGAAAATCTTCTGACTAAATATCTGTGGTACCTTTGGCTAAATGGTGACCACGGCGAAATGTAATGCAAACCTGTTATGACAAAGGTGAGTGCTGTCTTGCCTGTAGGGAGTGTCGCTCGTTTACGTTCTTCTTGCGCTTACCGATGGCTAGCAACCCAGTTAGCTCCGTGGCTAGGCCGACATCGGAATCCCGGAAGTGTTCCGGTGGAAGGAACATCCAATCAGAGCATAAGGGGCGCGGTCTAAAGGGACCTGCTCAAACAAGGTACATTCTGATTGGCTGTTGTAAAAGTAAACCTTGTGACGTGCATTGTATGTAAACTGTACACAAAGAACAGTTTATACGATGTGTACAGAAAATATCCTTTCATACACAACATGCTGTTTCATACATACACAAGCGTTATAGGATATAGCTACTGTACACATTTCTGTTTAAAAAATAAATATACCATATTCTATACCCTTGTATTTAATCATACGAAGATAATATACATGTTTAAGTTGAGACCCATTTTTTTCTGTAACAAGAACTTTATATCCCCAAACTAGTCAAAAACAAGTACGGATAGCTTTAAAAAAAATTTAAGAACAAATATTAATTTAACATAGGCGTACCTTAATACATAATTGCAGTTAAGCAAATTTACTTTGTAAAGTTTCTGCACTGTTTGTCAATGTCAAATGTGGCCTGTTTAAAGGTTATTAGCATGCTGGCTGAACTGGTTGACATTAAACCTTGGATCTGCTTTATGTTCACATCACTGTTAGGAAACAATTACTCAGACCTTTTGGTTCATTCTTCATCTGATTTTTTTTTTTAAATCTGCTAAATATTTTAAAAATATACATTGATTGATAAATATTAAAGATATGGTTAAAAATCATAAAATCACTAAATTTAGATATTTTTTAAACAATTAAAAAGAAATGTATATGTAAATTATTTTAACTTTGATCTACAAAATATTTTAAAATAAATACTCAATAGCTCAAAGTGACTGACACCCTGCGTATTGTCAAAAGTGCACTGGAAGATTTGTTTGCAATACAAAGAGAGACTTGCTTGAGACTTGTTAAAAAGCTACCCCAAAGTATTCAGCTCAAAGGGTACTACACAAGTGACTGTTAAGTCAGGTAGAAAGAAGTTACTTTAAGAACTAAAATATATATTCTTGATAAGAAAGACAACCATAAAACTTTGTATACATTGGTAGAAGTTAACAATTTATTGGGACTGAAAAATGTCTGTAAAAAGTTTGAAGAAAATATATTGCCTCTATACAATTTTTTTTAAAACGGGACAATTACAGCATCAACAACATTCCTTTGATAATATTACAAAAAACATTATAGTCCATAATACTCACAAAAAATACAACACAGTAAACAAAATCTGTCAATTATTCCTTTCAGTCATGATCCAAACCTGTCTTGTGATATATTTTTTGTAGAAATACAGTTTTACTTCATATCCATAAAACGTATGTCCATGATAAGCAGGGTGTGTCTGGGCAGTGGTCTGGGCGCAGGGGACAGCACTTTCAATATCTGTGTTTGTGTGTCCACATGTGTCACTACTATAAAGCCACACACGGGGCTCTCCACTATACCCTTTCTGACCCCTTCCTCTCCATCCTCGGCACTGCTCACACTCAGCACGTGATAAGTGAGGTCTCTGCCAGGTGTCACGGGGACCAGCTTTAGCTGTGTGTCGTCTTGAGACATTCCTAGTGGCAAACATGAGTCAGGGATGGAGGGAGCGCCAATTTTATAGATGCGAACATCCGAGAAGCGCACTTCATATGAGAAAGGGTAGAAGGTCACTCCGCGAAAGCCGTAGAAATATTCACGTATCTTTTCATCCCGAGTGTCCCGCCGGCACTCTTTCGAGCGTTCAACTACACCCCCAGATTTAGGTAATAGTACGACCCGCACAAAGTGAGGCAGGTCACGTTTCAGTTCGTTGTACAGTCTTTCATGATCTAGTACCAGCACCACATCCACCTGAAAGGCAGAGGCACAATGAACCAAAGCCTGGTATCCCGAGCCTTTCACCCAGCCACAGGTGTTAATAATACAACCTCCCACGCTGGCCTTCCTGTTCACCTCACACCGCTGTGAAAACACCTCAGCCAAGGTTGACGTTAACTTTGTTAAAAGAAAAAATAGACATAATTACTTAATAACACAAATAACCAATAAGTCCATTTTCAGGGTTTTATTCTTCAAAAAAACACCTGACTTAATTTTCCCTTACCTTGTTGTAAAGTTTGATGTTGGTTCCTGGGGTAGTGGAGCCAAAGTGGTAGACCAAAGGAGCCTGGACTGAGAAACCTTCTTCAACATCTGCAGGACGCTCAATACACAGTGCTGAGACTGTTCCAGGTACAGATACCTGAAGGATTAAAAAAGATTATTATAAGATTGTTATATATATGAATATATATATATGAATATATATATATATATATATACATATATATATATATAGTTATATAACACCAGTGCAATTGTGTGTGTTACACACACACATAATTTTTATTTTCTCTGTTATGTACAAAACAAGGGTTTTTGGAATTGTTTGGGGGTTAAATTAAGTTTTAAATTTGTGCTCAATGAATCAAAATAGGAGGAAATACATTTTTGTGAAAATGCTGTGTGAGGTGTAGAGATATGTTTGATCAATGGGTGCTGATCGCTTTAATATCCAGCAAGAATAGATTTGCATAGAACCATCTAGTACAGGTTTATTCAAGGACACTCATTAAAATCCAAGGTATCTTACCCCACTTTGCCCCACATCCAATTCCACCAGTGTTGGCCGCCTGCCCATCCTGACGGCATAATTTAGAAGCATCCGACACACTGTTGACTTCCCCACGTCTGCTGGTCCCACCACCATCACCTGAAGGGGGATTGATTATTTACAGCAATGCAACGTAAGTGTCTGGATGAAAAATTCTGTATTTAATCCTACCCTTGGTCCACGCTCGTTCTCCCGCTCTGCTTGTCTTCTCATCTGCTCCAGGGCAGCATGTGTGTTCAGATAAAGCAGCATTGGAGTTTCCACGGACACATACGCCACCTGTGGTGTTGACAGGTAAATACATTAATCAAATCACAAAGGCTTCTCTGTTATTCTATAAGGCAGTGGTAAATGTATACACAATAAATAGAGAAATGCAGTTGTGGCGCATCCTTCATGTACTTACCTCTGGCTTTCCATAAAGGTTGACAGTGCAGCCTTGCCAGGTAAAAACTGCTATCTTGGAGCCTGCACCAAACACATACTTCTTATTGCGGTTCAACTCGGAGCCAAACACTTCAGCTAATCCTGTGACGAGCTCGAGCTCAACTTGCTCTGCTGCTTCTCCAGCCTCCACCTCAAACCTAAGTTCAGTCTCCTTCCCAAGATCAAACCTGTTGCAGACTTTCCCAGCTGCAGGAGCATCTTCAGGCACATTTTCTACACCCTCTGTAGCCATGACTGTAAAAGGTAAATATGGAACACAAATTTCTTAAAATATATTTTTTCGTACATTAATGTATGAGTATTTTTTAATCACCGAATGATGTTGCATGATGTTGTATGATAAAATGGCAATTTTCAGTATATATAAAATAATGACAACATTCATAAATGATTTAAATAAACTCACAAAATCTGCATCTCTATTACAGCTAGTGCTATGATTGGTCAGTTCCACATTATTGTTTAATACTATCACATGATATTTTAATCAATTTAACTTACTATTTATAAATAAATCATATTAACAATTTAACAACCACTTACTATTTATAAATAAATCATATTAGGACGTGATGCTAATGTAAACATAGCGTGGACATTACTGTAATTTCCTAGCCTGGGATCAATAAAGTACATCAATCTATCTAGAGTGGACGTTACTGTGTATCCATCGGTCACTCCGCACACTACACCACAGTGTTGTTACCTTCACATCTGGTGGCCGAGTTGGAAGCAAATTCTGAGTCTACAGCTGTAGTACACGGGCTGAACTCGTATAATAATATAGTATGTACTAAACCATTTCTAACGTGTGGACGTGCCACAGGCTGTCAAAACCATTCTGTGTTGTCTCCTGAGCCCTGGCTAACACTTATTACATTTGCCAATGTGTACCAACGTTCACAGCATGTGAAAAAACGCAAGAACATTTTCATTCTATCTAACTGAGATAAATTTGAACATCAGTTATATCAGACTAACCACGGGTCAACGCGCCAGCTAGCTAACCCTCTGCAGGCCGTGGCTAACCGCGATCAGTTAAACAAACGCCTAACGATAACAAACCCTTCTGTGATTGGTGTAATATGCTTTCTCTTGACGGAATAAATCTATTCGTTCATTGTTGTAAAAAGTTACTACTTACGGACTCAATCCAGTCTAGTTGGGATAAACGCCGTTAACGCACGCGCAAATACGTTCATGAATAATCACGTGATATGACGTCACATCCTGCAACCAATGTATTGTGTATCCGTTTTTTCGTAAAATACAATTCACTTTATTTCAATTGTCTTTTGATAGATCTTGCTAAAGTTTTTCCATAATTCGCTTACTTTATATCTTTATTGCCGCATGTTATATTTTTCTGTTATATTTTAAATTCAAAAATTCAAATTCAAATGTGGATAAATGTATTTGTTTAGAATTACATTGATGATGCAGAATCTATATATTGTAGTCTCTCTGAAGGTTTTGGTTTATTTTCAGTGATGGATTTAGCAGCTTTTTCCTTTTTTTCATAAACTACTTAAATAGACAAAAATGTAATAGCAACAAATCTATAAAAAGAATCAAGCAACTTAATTTCCAGGGATCCATAGAAATGTTCCAACATGAACAATCAGACCACAACTATTGTGTCTCAATTAACAAATACACTTTATTACATAAGAACACCAATAAACATAATTAGAACCTAGAGTGATTTAATGGTGTTCATTGTTAATTTCGCGAAATACAAAAACTGCACATAAAAGCATCAAGCCCATACAACTTGGAAATGTGTAATATCACAGAGCCTCCACTAGATGTCACAACGTGTCCAGAGGATGTGAGCTGCTGGAGCTAGGATCATCAGAGGAGTGACTGAGATAGTCTCCTTTGTCAATCCCCATCATTCGGCGTCCAGAGCACATATCTGCTGAACTCCTGCAAAGAAATTTAGAGAACATAAAATACTAATCACCTGTTGCTGATGGAGTATCTAAGGAAGGCTTTGAGGCAATACCACCCCCCATCCTCTCTCTATTCTTTTGTTACAACTGTGGCACAGACCTTCAGTGTACATCTACTCAGCCTTCAGAGCCTCCTGTAGGGCAGCAACGATATCGTCAGGCTGAGGAAACTTCAGCTTACGAGGCGGACCCTTCTTTATACCCGTCCACAGAGAGGATTCTATAGCAATGAGAGGATCAGGGTTAGTGTCATTTTAAAGAGGCAACAGCAGTTTCTTTTTCCAAAAACCTAAAAATTCAAGCAACTGGTGAGCTTCTTCACACATTAAAACACAACAAGCAGAAGGCAAACATTTGAGAAAAGGCTGATTATAGAACAATAACTTAAGTCTGCTCATGCTTCTGAAAAACATGGCCTTCTGTTGACTGTTTATGCAGAGATTAATGAAAAAGCCCAGAAACAGACTTTGGCCAAAAAAAAGCTTTACCATTCTGTTGTTTGATTCTTCTCTTGATCACAGCTTATGTAAAATGTGCATGAGTTAAATAAAGATTTGTAATGTATAATTTCATCATACCACTTTTTCTAAACCTAATCAGCCAACCGAGATATTTCATATCTAAACTCTTCTTTGTGCATGTCTGCCTGTTCTCTGGAGAAATCATAAATTATTTCTGGGCACTGAAGTATTAACAGCACAAAAACACAACACAGTGTAGGGTTTGATAGTTTAC